CTTCAAATTCTCTCTACATAAAAACAAAACTCTTTTTTTTTTTTTTTTTTTTTTTTGAGACGGAGTCTTGCTCTCTCATCCAGGCTGGAGTACAGTGGCGCGATCTCGGTTCACTGCAACCTCCACCTCCCAGATTCAAGCGATTCTCCGGCCTCAGCCTCCCACGTAGCTGGGACTACAGGCACCCACCGCCACACATGGCTAATCTTTTTTGTATTTTTAGTGGAAACGGGGTTTCACCATGTTGGCCAGGCTGGTCTCAAACTCCTGACCTTGTGATCCGCCTACCTCGGCTTCCCAAACTGCTGGGATTACAGGCGTGGGGCACTGCGCCCAATCTATATATCTGTAAATACATGTATTAATAAGAAGAAGGGTGTAGAAGGACATAAAGTAATCTTTTAACATGGGTTATCTGGCAGCAACTGGAGACATTTAAAGATTTGCTGTGTGCTGGATATTTCTCTCTTCTTCATATTTGTTGTCTTATTTGCCAGAAGTTGATTTCCTGATATGATTACTATCTTTGTCTCAGATTCCTCTGTTCCACTTTCTGGCATGGCTGAAAATGGGGGCACTGAACAGCTAACTGAGCTGGGGAAATCTTGCGGCTTTCTTGGTAAGGCATTGCGCTGTGTCGTGATTTTCCCAAAAAGAACAGCCCAAGAATCTGGGCAAGGGCTTGCAGGCCAAAAGGGCAATAGGAGGCCGTCAGATAGAGGGGAGGTCAAGTTGCTAGTGGTGCCTATTGCAAAATCAAACAACCTCAAATATTATTCCCTTCCATCACCTGTGTCTAGGGAGAGCAACACTCCATGAATAAAATGAATCCCAATTTTCCTGACAAAAACTTAGCCTACAATCAGTAATTGCAAGATAAGAAAATACAGTATGTAATTTTAGTCAAGAGTCTACTATATTGTAGATTCCTGATAGATAATAAAACACAGAAACAGTGCTTTGTGCAAAGTCAAAGAATAAATCTGACAGGCGTTTTGATATGAAGAGAAGTTATTAGGTATTCATGAGACTATACATGCTGAATTTGAAAACCCAGAAATTATAAAGAGACATGAACATAGTTTTTAAAAATTTGCCTGTTATTAGCAAATCCAAAATCAGTCACATATACAGATTAATATATTTATATATCATTAAGAATATACCAAAAACTACCTCAATATCTTTCTCCTCTCCCCCTACCCCAAAACTCGTACACATACCCAACTCTATCTCATTGTGTATTCATATAACTAGGATAGTTTTTTAATGCTACTATTCATTAAATGTATTCTTAGAACTAAACTGACCATCTCATTTTATGTTACTATTTTAGAATACATACATCCATTTATTCATTCAACAAATAGTTACTGAAGGTCTGGTATATAGTAGGCACTGTCCTTGCTCTGGGAATACGGCAGGGAGTAGAACAGACAGCAGTCCTTTCCCTCCTGCAGCCAATATCCTACTAGAACAGCCAATAAAGAGGGCCAGGCGCAGCGGCTCAGGCCTGTCATACCAGCACTTGGGGAGCCCAAGGTGGGAAGACTGCTTAAGTCCAGGAGTTCAAGACCAGCCTGGGCAACATAGTGAGACCTCCATCTCTACAAAAAAGAAAATTAGCTGGGCATAGTGGCGCACACCCGTGGTCTCAACTACTCGAGAGGCCGAAGCAGGAGGATCAACTGAGCCTGGGAGGTCAAGGCCACAGTGAGTTGTAATCATGCCACTGCACTCTAGCCTGAGTAACAAGAGAGAGAACTTGTCTCAAAAGTTTAAAAGAAAAAAAAAGTGAAACATACAGTATAGCAGGTCAGACAACTATCAGCACCATGGAAGAAAATAAAAGGCGTAGAGAGTACCACGGCAGGGAGAAGGCTGCAATTTTAAATATGGTGTAGTCAGGGAAGGTTTTACTGTGAAGAAATTTCAGTCCTCTGAACTGAAAGAGGGGAGAGAAAATGCCATATGAATAGAGTGTTGTAGAATGGCCAGGGGTGGTGGCTCACACCTGTAATCCCAGCACTTTGGGAGGCCGAGGCAGGTGGATCACGAGGTCAGGAGTTTGAGACCAGCCTGGCCAATATGGTGAAACTCCATCTCTACTAAAAATACAAAAATTAGCCAGGTGTGGTGTCGTATGCCTGTAGTCCCAGCTACTCTGTAGGCTGAGGCAGAAGAACCACTTGAATCCGGGAGGCAGAGGTAACAGTGAGCCGAGACTGCACCATTGCACTCCAGTCTGGGGGACAGAGCAAGACTCTGTCTTAAAAAAAAAAAGAGTGTTGCAGACTGACAGGTTTAACATGTGCAAAATCAGAGTGCATGCCGTTACCACTCCAATGTCATCTCCCACTATTCTGTCCCCCTCTCTCACATCATGCCAAGGCAACAGATGACTTGCTGTTGCTCAAATTATGCCAGTGAATGGGAAGCAGAGAACCAAGGAGGCAGTGCAGATCCACAGAAGCTTCTCTGAAGAGGACTTCTTCTCAAATGAAAGGCTGACCATCATCATACGAATAAAAGGAATCTTGGGCAAACGCCACTCCTCTTGAGGAGCAATGTCCAGTGAACTTTCTGCAATGATGGAAATGGTCTATATTGTCCATTAAGTAGCCACTGATCACATGATACTACTGGGTACCCAAAAAGTGGCCAAAACTGAAATTCTAATTATATTTTATTTTAATTAAAACTAAAGTAGTCAAATGTGACTAGTGGCTAGCGTACTGACCAATATAATTCTAGAGTAAAGGTAGGTCTTGACAACACAGAAATATATCATTAATGGAGATACCTTACTTCTAAAGAAATACGTTTTGTTTAATTTACTAAAGTTCAAGTTCATCTAATGAAAATTCCAGGATTAAATATGGCAATTATGAATGTTTTACTTAATCATCTCAAAATACAGATTAATCATTATCTGTCATATAATTATTTAACTACTGCATGGAAAAACTATTGTTATTGGGCATTCTCACTTCAGCTTTAGTATTTCCCTGTGGATGGTTTTTTTTGCTTGCTGAAAAAAAAGTTAAGAAATTTTTTAAAAATCCACGTTGGGTGCAGTGGTTCACACCTGTAATCCCAGCATGTTAGGAGGCCAAGGTGGGTGGATCCCTGAGGTCAGGAGTTTGAGACCAGCCTGGACAACATGGTGGAACACCGTCTCTACTAAAACTACAAAAACTAACTGGGTGTGGTGGTACACACCTGTATGTAATCCCAGCTACTCGGGAGGCTGAGGCATGAGAATTGTCTGAACCCGGGAGGCAGAGGTTGCAGTGAGCTGAGGTCGTTCCACTGCACTTCAGCCTAAGTGACAGAGCAAGACTCTGTCTTTAAAAAAAAAAAAAGAAAGAAAGGAATTTTTTTAAAAATCTGTTTTCAAATCAAGCTGTGTTTCCTGCTGGCAAGTTTTTTTTTTTCACCTTGATTTGTTTCCAGCTGACACACATTTGTATCCAAATGTAAAAAATATGAATAAAATATAACAAATGAGATAAACTTACATTCATTTATTAAATACATTCTAACAAAACAATCAAAGACTGTAATTAGCTGATTGGCTTTAAGAGGTATTTCTTAGAAAGTGGTGTTCCAATGGTCTTTTTTTCTACAAAACTGAAAATAGGAGATACTCCTTATTTTAAGATACACAAGACAAATCTTTAAAAACTATATTCAACTTTATAAAAATATACAGGTTCTAAGAGAAAGTTACATATATATATACACTATACAAAAAACACTACTATTAAAGCTACACAAGAAAATTGCATGTTTTATAATTTCTGTGTTTAAGTCAACAGCACCCAGAGATGATGAAAACCAGTTACTAAAAAATTTACTGCTTGGTTAAAACTCAGTTTACAATTCAAAGAAGTTTTTAAGATCTCTATGCTGTTATGAAGCTTTATGAGGTTTACAGTAGAGATGAAAACAGAAATAAAAAGATCTGACAAACAGAAAATGTCAAAGATATTTTCAGCATTATCAGTATGGATTCTTTTCCCGTCTATCATCACTTTTTAATCTTCTTCCAAAACATCTACCTGAAAAAACAACTGTGTTTCCTGGGATCCCCTTCAAAATGTAAATGTTTGATAGACAAAGGTGGAATATAAGCATATATATTTAACTAGAATGAAAACTCCATGAGGACAGGAATTTTTGATAAGTATTATCAGTGCCTAGAGTAGTGCCTACAGTATGTACTAAACATTTACTGACTAATCTGGCCAGAAACTTTTATAAAATAGAGATATCCAAAATGTGTTTGTGTAGAATTTTATTCTAACACTGGTGTCTAGACTCATTCCATTTAACAAACATCTTTGTTTTACCACCCATACATAAAACAAGAAGTTTTTTACAGCTTATTGGTAATTGACAGAATTAGCCAAGGGCTTTTGTGTTCATTATTTATATGGATTCTATCATTCCTTCCAATTCCAAACTTTATTTATTCTACTAATAGTCTGAAACTGTAAAGAAAAAACCTGAAACCTATCTAAATGAAATGTCATAGAAGATTAAAATATTACTTAAATTACTAGAAAAATAACTACAAAACAACTGATGGCTCATCTTGGACTTTTCACATTTTTCTTAAATCTTTTAAAGAGTATTTTCTAGTTCTCTGCTTAGTCTTGCTTTATACTACTATTAAACACTTCACTTTCAAAATCAAATAAACTGAGATGCCATATAATAAGCTGCACTATGGTTTTTAAATTTTATACCAAAAGAGTACATTTATTTTAAAAACAAAATATGTGCTGAAAAATACAGAGTTGAAATGTCTGCTGAAATGCTGTATACTATACTACAAAAATCTCGATGTTTGATCACCTAACATTGAAGTTTAAATTAGGTCTATATGCAGGAAATTCACCTTCATAATATTTTAACACGTTTGTCTTTGTAAGGTGGCCATCTTCTAAGGAAAGATTTAAGGTGGCCATGTTCTAAGGAAAGATTTAACTTACAGTCAAATTTCGGTCCCAGATCTGTATGCTTCCATTCTGGCAGGCAGCTGCTATGAGGTTTCCATCTCTACTATATGTGCACGTAGTGGGAATGACTTTTTTGCCCTGCATCGTCCGAGGTTTAAACACACTTTTTTGCTTCTTTGGATTTTCAACTTCCCACGTCCTCACAGTCCTAAAAAGGATCAGGAGATTTTCATTTATTAAAAGATAAAAGGGGGGGGCGGTTAAAATAGAGAAGAGTCCATAAAGACTGCTTCACCATTTTGGCACATAAATCTCATAATTATTTTAAAATAAAATAAGACATGCACTGTAAAAGATTCTCTATTTATAAATGAGGTTACTCACAGAAATAAAGTAAACCATCTGAATCATGTTGTCATCAAATTGAACAGAGAGAGGCAAATTCTACTTCCAATCGATCAGAGTTATTAATTCTGTCCCTCTAAAGCAGTAAGTGGCCTCCAAATTATTCTGACTTTACCTCGGATCAGCCAAACTGTTGAATGTCTGCCCCCTATATAGGCACGTATTCGTAAATCACTTACATGTGTTAATGCACTGTTTTTAACATACACCAGAAAACACACTGAAAAATAAGTTATTAAAAGAAATAATACCCCTCTCTAGAGCCCAAGCGAAGATCTCATTCCTCTAGGGGAGAAGTAGAAATACACCTCTCTGTTTCTGAGCTTTTGCCAAGCAACAAGCAACAATAGCCTAGTCCTGGAGCAGAGGTGTAGAATACCCTTGTACTCACAGTCCTAAGTGAAGGAGCACTGTCAGTAAGGGAGGGTAGAACAAATGCCACATGACCCAGAGGGGGAATTTCAAAAGCTTAAAATACAGAAAAATAAAGATAAGGTAAGTTTCTTGCCAGAAACTATACAAGCCAAACCACTATGGAACAACATCCTTAAAGTTCTAAAAGAAAAAATTAATTGTCAATCTAATATTCTATAGCCAGTCAAAATATATTTTAAAAATAAGGTGAACTCAAGACTTTTTCAGATTGACAAAAGCTGAGGCAATTCACTACCATCAGACATCTACTAAAATAAATGTTAAAAGACATAGGTAGAATAAATATGACAAAAGTGGAAATCTGAATCTACACAAAGAATATTACAAATGTAAAATGCATTTTTAAAAATGTTTAGATCTCTTTAAAAAATAAATTGATGTAAAGCAAAAATAGTAAAAAAACAATGCACTAATGTACTTTGAGTTTTATGACCATATCCAAGTAAAATGTATGACAATAATTGCAAAGGTTGGGAGGAGGAAGGAAAATATGTTGTTTGATACTATACTTGAAATAGCACAATATTATTTGATATGTTAAAGATGTACATTACAAACTCTAAAGCAATTGCTATCATATTTTTAAATCAATACATAATAATGAAGATACAATGAAAACAAATTAATTTTATCAAAAACAAGATAAGAAATCAAAGCAATGTGATAAGTATAAAACAAAAAGCAATATGGCAGATGTAAATTCAACCTCATTGATAATAAAATTAATTTGAAATGGTCCAAAAATTCTAATTGAAAGACAAAGAGTAGAAGCTTTTTAGTTTCACACAATCGCTTTTGCCTATTTTTGTTTTTATTGCCTGTGCCTTCGGTTCATATATAAAAAATCTAAGCCCAGACGAATGTCAGAAAGGTTTTTGCCTGTTTTACAGTCGTTTTACAGTTTCAGGTCTTAAACATTTAAGTCTTTAATCCATCTTGAGTTGATTTTTGTATATGGTATGAAATAAGGGTCTAATTTCATTCTTCCACATGTGGATATCCAGTTTCTTCAACACCATTTATTGAAGAGACTGTGTGTTCTTGGCACCTTTGTTAAAAATCAATTGACTGTAAGTACCTGGGTTTATTTCTAGACTATATCCTGTTCCACTAGTTGATGTGTCTGTTTTTATGCCAGTACCGTACACCATACTGTTTTGATTACAATAGCTTTTATTTTGAAATCAGGGAGTGTGATGTGATGTCTCCAGCTTTGTTCCTTTTGTTTATCACTGCTTTGGCGATTTGGGATCTTTTGTGGTTTCATTTGAATTTTAGGGGTTTTTTCTTCTATTTCTGTGGAAAATGACATTGGAATTTTGATAAGGATTGCACTGAATTTGTAGATCACTTTGGATTGTTTCGACATTTTAGCAATATTAATTTTTCTAATCCATGAACATGGAATACCTTTCCATTTATTTGTCTTTTTTTCCCTTTTTTTTTTTTTTTTGACAGAGTCTTGCTCTATCACCTTTTATTATACTTTAAGTTGTAGGGTACATGTGCATAACGTGCACATGTATCTATATATGTGACGAGGTAAAGATTTTCTACAACATTTTTCAAATCTGTTTTGACACTTTTTTTTTTTTTTTGAAATGGAG